CATCAGAATCAGTCAAGAATGCTTTTGCATGCAAGATAAGCATAGTATGACTGAAGCATAAGAAATTCTGAAATCGGGAGCATTCATCACCTTGATATTCAGACTGAAAATTTTCCAGTCCTTAAACATCATTGAGCAAAGCTCTCCAACAACTAAAACGCTGTTTGAGAAGTATTTTCAAGATGCGGCTCTTGATCCAGGCAAAATCAGGTATTCGCGTACATGTTCACAAATGGCGGTGAGTAGAATCATCGCAGGCAAGGTTCTACGAAAATGTTTCAAAGATTCTTTAATTACTTCATTAGCCAGTAAAGAGGATGGCTCTAAAAAATACTGCAGAGCCCAGTTACAGCTCTACGATACATCTATCTTCAAAACATATCCACGAACAAACTCTAACCAATCTGTCTTCACCAGCAGCAATAACAATAAGTCGATCAAGCAATGTGAATAGCGGACATTTCGTTTTAATTGTGGAGTCGGCATTCCGGTCATTTGTTGAGCAACGAATACTCATTCATCATATGGTGGACTGTAGTCGCCTTTGTCCAGTTAGAACGTCTTCTGCTTATTGCGAATTACATATTGGCTGAATATTAAATTAGCATTGCTGGATTTATGAACACAACCAGATATACGCTCTGACCGTGGCAAAGGTCAAATGGCTCATTATTCGAAGTTTGCTGGTTCAAATGACAAATTCAGTAGTGTCTGTAATCAAAAATATTTGAGCTGAATGGGAGGTTGGCGAGAAACAGCTTCATTGGCTGTTCATTTCAGCGTTCTTGACAGGCCAGGCCTCCACAACAAGAATGACCTTTCTTTTTCCCATACTTCGCCTTTGAGGCTAATGTAACATGGTGGCATTCCTTTGGTTCTAGATACTTCGGTCAGTTCCGCGCTATTGGATACCTGCGTGGTTAATGTAGAAATACTTTATTTTTTCATTTCAAACATGTTGAAAAGCAAATGAGATGATTGCCCGTAAATATTGCAAAAGATCTGAATGTGACATACAAACTGACATGCGACATAATACATTTTGTCATGTATTTGATTTTTCTGCCTTTGTTGATACCAGCATGAGCTTTCGACAGTATCATAAATAACAAGTCCATGGAGTAGTAACCCAAATGAAATGAAACATGGTATACCACGTAGCCATAATCTGCTAATGAAGTCTGCAGGACACAACGGAACCGCACAAGGGCACGGCGATTCAGAGGAACGGCAGTAAAGTCGCTGTTTCTACACCTTATTATGTCACAAGACGAAGTACTTCTGCAAGAATGGCTGTCACAGTGTATTTTACCTCCTCTTACTGTAACTCCCCTTACCCTAACTGCCGGTGGGAAGGGGGCTGGACACTAAGCAGGTTACAACGCCAAGATAACTGAACATATGCATGTCTAACCTGTACTATATAAGGAACACTAGTTCCTGAAACGCCGTCCGTCATGAGCACGCGATAGCTACAGCGGACAAAATGATGCAAGATGCATCTGGCAATACATGTGCTCAAATATCACGAAGCCGTAGCATGCTGAAATACACCCATCCCATTCCCTAAGCATCTAGCTGTGAGGTGTGGCGGTACTTGTGAAGTCTGATCTTGAATAAGTCATTCGTTATGACGATGATATAATAAACTTATCATCTACAAGGTACTGGCATTGGTGGAAGATGGAACATCGGAAAAACAGACTAGAAACAAAGGGTCTCTGAACAATCTTTGGAAAAAACAGCTTTCTTTGCATATTGACAAGAATTTTTTAAGTCGATAACTGGCAGTGAACAGCTCAATACCTTCAAAGTACGAGATTATAGTTACATATTGCCGCAAGCAAAAATGCCTTTATATTTCCCAGCGACCACACTGCAGTTAAACCATAACAACACTGGAAAATACTTTCTTTTCTCGACACAGCTTTCAGTAACGGCTACTTCCTATATTCTGAAGCAATAGTAATAATATTATAGGCAGAGAAATTCAATAAAGCCACTTCATTCGCTTCCTCTTATTTTGCGAACTTTCGTGTTTTACTACCTGATTGATCAGATAAAACAAAAACAATGTAGTATTAGACTGTATGGACCCTGGTATCCTCCACTTGTTACTACCCAGTTTTTGTTGCACACGGAAATTATCTCTTCAGCCATTTTTCCATGGCATAAACCTGAACAGAGCTTTACAATAACTGCAACAAATGACTCTCAATTTAAATAATTCATATCACAACAAATGAACAAACGACGAACTCGCACATTTCAACCAGCACCAATAATGAGCACAATAAACCAAAACAATAACAAGGAATGTTACTTCGTATAACTCATCAGAAATAACGTAGCTACAGATGAATGATTCACTTCCATAGAGGCAAATGCGAACCATTTTCATACGCAGCTGCAATTAATACGAAACCAGTTTTAATAAATATAATGGAGCGAAAAATGGACTGTACTAAATACATTAAGGGTGCTGACATACATTAAGATGCTCTATCCTAATGTACAAGTGTACATTTGGGGTCAGGGTCCATAGACGGATGGCGGAGCAGGATTCGACAGAAAACCAGTTGGTCCAGGATAGACAGGTTGCGCGCCGTAGGCAGCCGCCGGGTACGGTGTTGGACCGCCCATTGCAGGTGCCGGCGGAGCCATGCCCCGATAGGTAAGCATTAGCTGCGGTTCTAAAGAAATAAACGTTTTGAATACGTACCAATAACATAAACTATTATTATAAAGTAGTTAGGCAAATAATGTTAAACGTACGACGAATTACCAAATACATCAGAGCATTAGTCAGTCAAAAACATCAAGGACAGTTCGACTGATCAGTTAGTGAGATCAGAGGAGAAAAGCAGTTTGCAATAACTGACGCCGGTTTCCTTTACACTAACATGATAGGCACTGTTTGTAGTGCACGGAACTTATCGGACAGGCATTGATCTCCACTTATATGCTATCAGCCAGGTGTGCATTATTTTGAAAACCATGACGTACACGGCAACTATATCATGCAACCTGCTTTTCCCACAAATCTGAGTGATCCGATTGACAAATGAATCGAACAACCTACCGAATGATCAACCACTTGAGCGAAGACGCACTTTAACTTCGTTTAATCATGCATCTCACTGTTGAACCGTGCTCTGTCTTTCCGGAGAGGAAGGAGCAAGAGGTCTAATCTTATGTCCGTTTGTTGACCTGCTATCCTATTAGAAGACGGGTTACTACCTGCAGCGGCGGTCAAAACGTACATCGTACCTCAATAAAAAAGTTGGATCAATACCTTCGTTTCTATAAATCTTTT